AGTTTGCATTGTTTCTATGAAGGTGACGATTCAGCATGGATCTTGTGGTATAAGCAAACTCTGGGACAGAAACCGAGGCTAATCTCTACGTTCTATGTGTACGATACAAAAATCACTTTTCATGATGAATTCCTGAACAACCCACGGTTCACACTGGATACAGAAAACGGAAGAAATAACTTGAACATTTCAGATTTGAAAATCAATGACTCAGCTACTTACTACTGTGCATGCAGCTATAGATTTGTGTTAACTTTTGCAGAGGGTACCATTGTCAAAGTAAGGGAGACAGGTTTGAAAAACCCAGCTTTAGTCCATCAGTCACCATCTGAGACCATCCAGCCTGGAGGCTCCGTAACTTTGAACTGCACGGTACACACTGGGACTTGTGATGAAGAACACAGTGTTTACTGGTTCAAAGAAACAGAAGCATCTCGTCCAGGACTGATTTACACTTATGGAGGCAAAAATGATTATTGTAGGACGAAAACTAACCCACAAGCAGACGCCTGTGTCTACAACCTGCCAATGAAGGATCTGAACATGTCTCATGCTGGGACCTACTACTGTGCTGTTGATTCATGTGGACACATAGTGTTTGGAAACGGGACCAGATTGGATCTCAGCCGTGAGTACTGAAGAGTCATTTACAGTCAATTCTGATCACTTTTTGTGAGAAGATACATATAAGCTAAAAATCTCTTTCCGATGACTGGCTAACTGCAGGTGAGGCAGACTTTCTTGTCTTGGTGTACTACTTGAGTGGAGCTTTGGCATTCAGTACCATCCTGGTTCTCCTACTGGTTTTCTCAGTATGCAAGACAATGAAGAGAAACAACTGCCTTTGCCCAGGTATGTGGTACTGCTTGTGCCTAATAGCTTAAATTTGTTACGTTTATCTTTTAGCCTTTGGATCTGAGTATTTTTTTGTCTTTGACTATTAGAGCCTCGTGCACGATTACCAACTCCTTCAACAACAAATTCAGAGGTAAATCAAATCCCAGTTACTTACTAATAAAACAATGCTAAATTTCTGTAAAGGAAATATCTCAAATGACTTTTGCATATTCTCTTGACAGGCTTGTCAAGATGCAGACAGCCTCCATTATGCAGCTTTAAGTGCTAAGAAACTTAACAAGTCAAGAAGACAGAAAGACAGCAGCAAGAGTGAATGTGTGTACTCCAGCATAAAGCAGTAAATATGGACATTTCAACATTTCAATGTCGAGCAGACAAAACAATTCTACATTCTGTTCAATACAATTTATGACCAGTACTAACATTCTAGCCCAATTGCAACTGGAAAATCAGGCGAATGCATGTCCTGCTTGTCTCCCATCCATATTCCAACAGGATTCTTTGGCTGTTACTTGAGGAATGATTACTTTTAAATACATATACATTTCTGAACAGTATATATTCGTTTTACTAAACATTTGATCTCAAGGTTGTAAAAAAAAACTGCATGAATGAAGTTTTCGTGCCAGACTACAAACAAATTGCAAGGTTTCAGTTTTATTCTCTTTTTTTGAACCATTTTGTTGGAGTTTATGCATTCACATTTAGTAAAAAACCAGCACTGTGACTAAATAAAGCTGCTAGGCTATGGCTGCAGATCTTTTTCATTGTATCTCTGTCAGTGCAACATCAATGATCTTGTGTTTTGAGCCAGTGTGACTACTTCAGGTACTATACAGATTAGTACCAGAGCCAATCTAGGAATTTGCTGCAATCAATTTGAAGCTATAGCAGAGCGTTGTCATGAGATAGGTCACATCAAATAGAAGATGAACCAGTAAAATGGTTATATACACCTTTTTCTAAAAATAAATATACTGGTGGCTACTAGTGCAATCCCTCAGCCCCCTACTAGATGTGTTGTATAAATTTGAAAATATCAAGTGACATTCTTCTTGAGTCACATTCCCAACACTTAGAACCAACCTGATCTTTGACCTTGACCTGTAGGTCAAGCTCACTGAATTCTAAAATATAAATGTATGCTATCACTTTGAAAACCCTAAGTTCTTAATTTATGGTGTTCACAAGAATTTAAGAACATATTCCCCCTGACCTCACAGATATTCAAAGTCATCCAAGAATTTAAGTAGAAATGAGTTATTGTGTTCATTAGATTTTCAGTAAATCTGACCTCTGATTTTGATCAAGCTCGACAGGATTCCAGAGTCGTCTCTATCTTCTAAGCCGACTGAGGTCTCTACAGTGAAAATAACAAATAACAAAGTTCTCATTTTAAAGTAAAATGTCAATCATATACATGTCGTTTCTCTCTATGTTCTGGATATTTATAATTTAGCTATTTCTATTTATTATAGCTAGTTCTTATATTTTGTAAACTTGTAATATATTGTATTATTTAAGTTAGCATGCTCACATGTTCAGCATGTTACTGTTCTTATTGTCTTGGAGCAACTGTAAATACATACTTTCCATAGGGATTAATAAAGTATTCTGATTCTGAATGGCCTATCCCACCTTGCAGCTGCAAGAGAAGTACTTGCAGCTACTGACAGGTACCAAAAAGAGAGAGAGAGAGTATTACATTTTTACATTGGCTGACAGTTAAATGCAGAGTTGAGTTTAAGGTTCTATTAGTTGATTTTTAATCTCTCCAATAGCTTGGCTCCTGGTATGCATGTCTATATCTATACATACATGAGTTGCTTTTAACCCTTTAAGACCTATCATAGAACCAAGTTCGCAAAAACCATCAAGGGCTACGATGAAACTGGCTGACTCTCTATGTGAGCCAGTTTCATCCTACCCCTTGATGGTTTTTGCGACTGCACTTGGGGACACATTCAAAGTTTTAGGAATTTTCCAGACTGACCAAACTTAGGTTCTTAAAGTAATAATGGACTGTCATTTCTCTTTACTTGTCTGATTAGTTCTTGCCATAATATGAATTCTAACAGTTGTCAAATAGGGATGTCAGCTGTGTACCAACCTGACTTCTGTACAACACAACTGATGGTCCCAACAACATTGAGAAGGCAACAAATTTCACAAATGAACCCTGACAAGGCACAAATGTGAAGTGAAACCATTTGAGATAAGGCCAAGGGTTTTCAGTGCTGTCAACAAAGCAAAGGGTGGCTACTTTAGTTCTTGTATCTTACTATTATGGGTTTTTAAGTAATTGTAATAATTCCTGGAGTTTTGTTTTTTTATTTGATTCCCTGCCTCTCCCATTAAATCTCAGCCTCTGTGTTAGATATTCCCTTGTTGGTTACTTCCTGTTTTATTTTGATAGTCGTACGTACCTTCTACTGAATAACTTCCCATGTCTCATTATCCCTGCTGTGCATTCATCCTATTTCCCCTAACCTCATTACTTTGTGTTTATTGTTTTTTCCTTGTATTTTTTCTGTTTTCCCTTGGATTATTCTGAACGTTTATCCTGAACAGACAGTGATAAAAGCTTATTTTGTATTTCACTCCATCTTTAGTTCTGTACTTAATCTATTGAAACGCAATGCCCCCAGTAATGGGGGAGAGAGGGAGAACATCTGGAATGTACCACCAGATCTGTTATTTAAATATAGCTGTTTGATATCCACAGAAACGTCAGAATCTCAACTAAAAGCTAAAAAAAAATCACAAAACACAGCTACTGTAAAACAGTAAATGGTTAAAGAGCAGGTAAAAGGATGTAAACACAAAGCACAAATCACACGATCATGCCACGATACACGATCATGCGTCAGGGTGCTGAAAGCAGAAATCTCACAGATTCATAAACTGCTGGTTTCATCACTTTCTGAACTAAATTCACTGAACCAGCTGCAAGAGAAGACCAACGCTAGGCTTCACATTTAAGGAACATTGTAATGAATTCCCTCTTAGTTCGGTGTGTTTTGCTGTGAAGACCGGGTTGGATTTGAGATACTCAAAAGGGATTAAAAAGAGTTGTGTGACTACCCCAGGTTTTCCCCAATACAAGACAAATTGCACATATTATTTTCTTTTTCAGACATATCTGTTACTATTTGTCAAAGTTCAAACAACCTCTGTAATGTAGCTTTGAGTTCAAGTCATCCAACTAATCGGATTTTAGCGCAAAGATTCAAACCAGAGCTTTATGTTTTTTTGTTGTTGTTAAGAATCTCATTGAAGATGCTTTGTGAAGTTAGAAATATTCTTTTGATATTGGTCTTTAAATCGCGGTTTTCGGTCTAAAGATAAGATCTCTTTAAGCTTAGACAGGCTTTAGTATTGTGTAACTACTTGGCTGTATTATCTATTGTGTGATCTTTGTGGTTACAAGCGGGAAATGACCTGATTCTGACTTAGAAAAAAAAAATTTTAGAAACTGACTGAAATCATACGTTCTTTCCTTTGTCAGTGCACAGCCATTTACTGTTTTTGACAGGATGTTAAGTATTATGCAGACACAAAAATGACCAAGGAAACACTCAAAAACGCCAATATAAACATCAGTATATAAAGTGAATATAAGTTCACATTTAGATTATTATGTCAGCAGTATAACATCAAATTCTGTAGTTTTTAAACAAACTACTTGTTTTATTCTGCAAACTACACTATATGAGTAATTCGTTTTGTATATAAATTTCCTAAGGATATGCTTCCCCAAGGCCAATGGCCTGTTTGATAGTGATACAGATATTGTCCCAAAAAATCCACCAATTTTCATTAAATTCAATTTGGCAACTTTTGCAAAATCCACCACCTTCACTTTACTTTTTTATTATTCTATTCTAGGCTGTAAAACGTAAATGAGAGTTACTATGCTCTTTCACCCATTTTAAAAATGTTGTGCTTAATAGGCATCTCACAATGTCAGTATTTATTATTAGAAAAAACAAAACGTGATACTATTGTTTCCAGTGAGCACGTTGCATTTCCTAAGTAGGACATACAGCGCAGCGTCACAGTTTGTCGGCCAATCAAACACAGTCCTGCCTATAAAGAGTAGAAAAGAGGGTTTTTTCCTTCCTTTTTTTCACACAGCAATTTTCTGCACAATGGCTTTTTCACTGCTGGCTTTTTATTTTGCAATACTGTTATCGAGGACTCTGGGTGAGTTGTGTGCTTGTAGGTTCATTTCTCCTCTCTAAGAATATTGAATTCTTTCACTTTTGCCTTACATTTGCTTTATTTTATATTTCAATTCTGCTCATTTGACTGATCTAGAGCTGTCCTCATCTGGTCATCAGAAGAGCGCTTTTGTGTCACGTAAAACGAGTGACAACTTGATTTTGAAATGTTTCTACGAAGGTGAGGTTGCTGCAAGGCTTTACTGGTATAAACAACCTCTTGGACAGAAACCAATGCTCATCTCTTACTCCTACATATATGAAAAAAATAACACATTTTTTGGCGAATTTAAGAATAATCACCGCTTTTCACTGGATACTGAAAATGGCAAAAACCACTTGATGATCGGAGATTTACAAATTTCAGACTCAGCGACTTACTACTGTATGACCTCTTATTTATACAGATTAACATTTTCAGAAAGCATTACTGTTATTGTTAACGATGCAGAGTCAAACGTCCAAGCTGTGGTCCAACAGTCAGCTTCTGAGATCATCCAGCAAGGAGACTCTGTGACTCTGAACTGTACAGTACACACTGGGACCTGTGATGAAGAACACAGTGTGTACTGGTTCCAAAACTCAGACGAATCCCATTCTCAGTCCCATCCTGGACTCATTTACACACATTGGGGTGGGAATGATCAGTGTGAGAAAGAAGCTAAGACACAAATACACACCTGTGTCTACAACTTGCCAATGAATAACCTGAATCTGTCTCATGCTGGGACCTACTACTGTGCTGTCGCCTCATGTGGACACATAGTGTTTGGAAATGGAACAAAACTGGACTTTGAACGTGAGTAACATTAAGACTGAGTTTACTAAAACCACAGTAGATCCCACCCAGTTGTCTAAACTGTCTGACTTCATGCATTTTAATGTTTTCTGGAGCGGCACCTTTGCAGTCACCTCCATCCTGAGTGTATTGCTGGCTTTCTCAGTGTGTGCGATCAGCAAGAAATGCATCTGCAAATCTCCTGGTAACTAATGTTTAGGGTTTTTTTTAACCTGCAAATTATTCCAGAATTATAAATATAAGAAACTTTTGTTGTTCTTGTAGAATCTCAAGCAAGTCTCCCCAAAGCAGATGCAACGGTGATGTATTACCAGTAACTATTCAGTTACCATTTTTCTACGCAAAAATCAATCTGTGGACATATTTTTATTAATAAGTATTTTGTTGCCAGGCTTTCCAAGAGGCAGAAAGACTCTATTTTCCATCTTCAACTGTCAACCTGCGCAACAGATCAAGAAGTCAGAAGGATCACACCTGGAGTGAATGTGTGTACACTGTAAAAAAAAATCTGTCAAATTTACGGTAAAATACCGGCAGCTGTGGTTGCCAGGAATATACCGTGTAAAAAATGTGGAATCTGTAAAAGACAATACGGTATACTGCTTTTGTAACCCTAATTTTTAAGGTAGACAACGTATTATTTTACCAAAATCATGATAGAAAAAACCAAATATATTTGTCAATTATACAGCAATTTAATGTAAAAAATGCAACTTTCCATAGCTTTTTACGGATATTTGCAGTAAAAAAAAAAGTAATAATATAATAATATTTACAGTAATTTGTTGTTAATTTAACAGTAATAGGATAGACCCTATTATTGTAAATAACTGTAAAAATAACAGAAATATGTTAAACCTTATTAAAACCTTTGACAGTAAAAAACACAGTGAAATTGTATAACAAATTACAGCATTTTATTTTGACCAGATACATTTTACGGTAAATTCCTGGCAACCACAGCTGCCGGTATTTTACCGCTAAAAATACAGTACAATATGAGGAACATAAATGGTTTACCGTACATTTTACATTTGCAACCGCTAAATATAGAAAAATCTAAAGATGCTCATATACAACCAAGGTAGAGAATATTACTGATAAACAATGAGAAAATTTGACATACCATTTGAAAACAGACTAAACATATCATTTTCTCTATTCCTACAAAACAGCATAGATCTTGAGAATACAGCATGTGTCCATATATATGGCTGGTAATCCATGGAGGAATGACTAAACATGAAACAAAATATTACCTGCCCCTGACCTATCAACAGTAATGAGTCACTGGGTCCTGCCTTGGTGAAGGAAAGGACTCGGTGGAGTTTCTAATGCGCATGGTGTTGAAGATACAAGCTCTGCAGGAGTACTTCAATGTCCATCAGGAGTTCACTTTGGACTGGCAGGATCCCCTCTGCAGCAAAAAAAATGGACAAAGTTTGATCAGTGCTTGAGCAAAATGCACAGAAATGAACAAAACGTGCTGCCAAAACCAGATCTAATGATAAATGATTTCTTAAGTGTAAAATATACAGTTCTTAAAGGATAGCTATTGTCAAAATGCAACCTGGGCTGTTTTTTTCAGTTTTTGTTTTTTTTTTACTGTAAACGAGACAAACATATATCTAAAAGCATAATTACGACAAACAAGCTGTTTTTGAGATTGACCGTGATTTTGTTTTGTGGTCAATAGCCAGTGAATGGGAATACTAGGGGGCCGGGGCATAAATTTGAGCACATCAAAATCGATACAGTAAAAAAAACAAAAAAAAAAAAACAGCCCAGGTTGCGTTTTGGCAATAGTTATACTTTAAATCTACTTGTGTAAAAGTTATACATAGACAACGCAGCCCTAATCACAATCATAATTTGTTGGAAAACGTATTTAAGTTTCGTATTGATTTATCATAGAACTTGAAGTTAATGGCTGAATGCATGGTGATGAGACCTATCATTCAATCTACATTTTATAGCGTATGAAACTGCTCACCTGGACATGAACCTGAGCTCGGCTGATTAAGATTAGTGTCTCCTGTCCATCTTTCTTTAGCAAAACTTGAATAATACCACTGCTTACCTCTTATTGAATCTTTGGGTGCAGACTTAATTGAAGAGCCTCGTATAAACAGGCAGGGTGTGATGTTTAGGGAAACCAAAGAATACAGCCGCCATCATTTCTGCCAGAAGACTCATGGGGTGCAACGAAGCGTTCATTGTGGACTGGCTAGATACCTTCTGCATTCAGAAGGAAAACAAGAAGGGCATACACCATAAACAATAATAACTGACAAAAATAATGAGACAAGAAATTAAAGTAACAAAATAAGTGCAAATCAAGTTTCCCTGTGTTACAGTGTAGCTGAATGTTTTTCAACAATTTGATTTACGGTAAAACACATACCAAATATTTCCAGCCAAGGTTTGTTTCAATCTTCAGCATTTTTTTCCTGCCATTGTCTTGAAACTGTTTCATCTGTCTCTCTCATTTGATGCTGTTTACAAAAACAAAACAGCAATATTGTAAAGGGAAAAAGGAAAATTAATTTAATGGAAAAAAAAAGATTATGACCTGAAATCTCACCATTTCCTGAGAGTCACAGGTCCTTTGAGTATCCTTATGGTTTCTGCTCAAATTCAGTGTCTGAAAAGGGCAGGTACAAAACAAACCTTTTTAATCATAATAAAGACAAAATAAGATTTAGAGACAGACGACAAAGAAATGTGTAAAATATCTTCTTGAATCTGTTTACTTTACTAACCTTGAAAGAGACTCTTGGGTCTTAGCTGTGCCACCACCCTTAAACCTTAAAACAGATGGAGACGATATGCTGGCCTGGCTTGAAATTTCCATATTTGGTGCTGTAAAACAATATCACAAACAATAGATTAATTGTACTTTTTGGACCTTGGCCAAAGCATAATAGAAAAAACAGAAAGTCCTTCATGGCTATTGTGCAATGAAATCATAATACTTACTGGTTTGTTTCTCAGATGTCTCCACTCCTAATGATTGTAGTGCCTCCAGTACAATTTCAAGGATTGAGGCAGACAGGTCCGGCAGCACCTTAGTAATGGAACTCCTTATGCTGCCCCCCCATTTCCAAGATGTCTGATAAAAGAATGTGAATAAAGGTCAATTTACACCAAGTGGTACCTTTGGTCTTAAAATATGAAGCTGATCTTGCTTGATACTACACTTTTATACAGTGTTTCGTAAGTACCAAACTAACAGCACCATTATTGTGACAGCACACTGTGTTTCAATGGAACCATTTGGTACCCATACTTCATGTAAGATGTTAATGGATAGAAATCAATTAAGTCAATGGGTTTTGACCAAAAAAATCATTTTATTTAAAACAGCTTACTATCACTTATGTCACACAGAACATCAGCAGGAGGCTCAGTAGAGGGCTCTTCTGATTTCTGCCACAGATCAGACTCTAGCAGACATCTCAAAGTCTCTCTTAAAGGCACATAATAGGCAAACCTATCTTTTCTGTTTTCATCTCTCCCTAAAAATATTTTCTTTGGTTCCGCATAGTTGAAGGCTTTTTTAAAGATCTGAGCTCTGGAGTGCACTGTCCTCAATGGCCCGGTATGACATGCAGAAAAAAGATCATAGCTTTTGACAGACTCACAGACTTTGTTGATGTCCTCCTCTGATAATGATGTGTCATCTTTTAACAGTGATGCAAGTTTACCCAAACTGTATGTCTGTCCCAACTCATGCATGTTCTGCATTTCCTCTACAATGTTCTGTATGGTTGAAGCAGGCAGTAGAAACTGACCCTGCAATTTTAAGTAGAATAGTGAAACGTTTCTCAGAAAAAGATCACAGAATTCAGGGGGCATTTCCATGTTATCTTCATGTGTAATAGACTGTGCAGCAGGCTCGGAAATCAAGGGTACAAAGTCATCTGATGTGGTTGGAACAGATGATGATTGACATGCAGACTCTCTATATAAATCACCAATGCTGCTGTCTGAAAACTCTGTGTTTACGTGACATGTGAGCAGTAAAAGATGATTTAACTCTAAAGGTATTTGTGCATCCTCTTACTGGACAAGTGACCACGTGTCCTTCCACAATATGGCTCTTCAGATGAGCTATTAACTCTTTAGAGTTCTGACACTGACGTTCACACATCGCCATTGCACATGTAAACGAAGAAACCACCACCACACCAGTGACATGGGTGGGGGCAGTGTCTTCGGTAAAAATGAGCCTTAAACGCGCCATACCTGGTGTATGTCTGCTTGCAGCCTGCTTCAATACACCGAAAGAAACAACGTGGCTCATTCCGATGCAGTTTACAATGAAGCACGTAGCCCCTTGATGACTGAACTACCTTACCACAGAAATTACACGTTAACATAACTCCATGTACTTTGGTAATTCCTCCCTAGCGAATTAAGCACGCCATATACAGAAACTAATCCAGAGCAATGCTTCCCTCGCAACAGTAATGCTAACTCAACTCACAAATGCTAACTAAATTCACAACCTCACTCATAAAAAACGAACTGCTAAAATTATCTATAAACGCTGGGCTGGTGGATTTTTATAACAGAGATAACTTGAAGTTGCATGTACTCACCTCACCTCGAACTAATTGTAAGCTGCCAGGATGTCTACAAATTCCGAAGATGCTGTGGTCCAAGCAGCAATAAATGGCGCTAATATACGAGTTCAAAACTGTGTCCGTTAGCGAAGCCAACTTGAGTCTCCTGCATGAAAAAAAGAGCGGTTGGCACACAGCTCAGCAGCGCGCCGCGCTATTGGTCATTTTCAGGTGACGTCATCCCGCAATGTAACGTCGCTCTTTGTTTCTTTAGGAGGTTCGGAAGTCACGTCTGCACACCGCTGCAGCCACGTCTTGCCTTGCTTCCCCTTTTTTTGGTGAAATGGTTCGCTCATACTGCACAATGTTGCTACCAGATTTTTTTTCTCTGCAATTCGAACGTAAAACGTCTGTACACAGTTTACCAGCAGTTTAGCTACCAATCAACAGCGATCACACAAATTCAAAATTTAAGGCCGACCCACTTAAGGTGGTCTGATAATATGGCGTGAAACACAACAACATAAAGTTGTTTTAAAATAATAATTAAAAAAGATTATTGAAATCAATTTTATTCACAACCATAAACTTTATTTTTAACATCTTCTTTTGCTGTTGATTTTTTTATCAGAAGGTTAACAATGATATACTGCAGGCCTAACTTTTAATCTGTATATCAGTATCTGAATTTTAAAATAAAAAAATACTATCAGTTTTATTGTCTTTCACTGCTGATATTTGCTTTTTTTTAATGGTATGTACTGGTTGTATTATTACGGTGGACCCTATTTTTTAACATCTTGTTTCTGTAAAAATGAATGTTTTTGTTTGCTTAAAAATCTACAGCTTTATACTGTGAATTCCAATGTGCACAACCCCAAAAGATGTAGTTTTACTCAAATAATACCGTAAAATCTAAGTTTTTCAGACATTTTCAACATTACAATATGTAATTGTAAAATGTATGCATATTTATTTGTTTTCACAGAAAATATTTATAATTTCAACATTTTATTACAGTAAAAAACAAAGTTTTATCCAGTCTCACAATTAACGGTTATTCAATCTATTTAATACAGTAAAAGGAAGTTTTTGGTTTTACGCTCCATTACCGTTGGAATTTGACGGTGTTTTGCTGTATATTTTACTGACTTTTTTTACAGTGTACTATAGTGTAAAGCATTAGTACGCAGAGAAGACACAGTGTTTAAAATGTAGTATTTCTTTTTTATGTTGGGTCATGTTCACAATATAATTTTTTTTGCTAGTTAATCACATTTGTAACGTCACTGTAGTTTGAAGATAAAGATGGAATAATGAAGGAATCATGAGAGACAAATGTCAGTATTCACTTCTTTTTTAATCCTCATTCTCTGCCAACAGCCTTTTAATTTTTTTTTTTTTTTTGTAAATTTAATGTTTTTGAAGCTCAATAAACATAATAAAGACTAAAAGACCTTCAAGCTTGAGACAATATCTGTGTGCCATTTCAATTCAGTGATAACATGTCTCATTATTGTGATTATTATTATTGTGTATGAGAGAATTAAGCCAAGCTTGTCTCTTCAAGAGAATGGATCATGAAATGCAGTAATTCTGCTGCCAAATTAAGTATAGAAACTAGACTTAATCTGTTATCCTAAATACAAAAGGTCCCAAGCAGGAGTGGATCTAGAGAAATTTTCTTAGAGTGCCAGGGAAATCAAATGGGATGGCAAAATGAAAGTCATTTCTTTACACATACAGATGTGTAGTTTTTTTTAAATTTAGAAATAATTTACAAAAAATTGCACAAATCTGCACTTTCATGAAGAAATTTTTGACCGAAAATTTAAACCAAATTTTTCATGATTTATTGGGTTCCAGGGTATAATTGGCCATTTTTGACTACTTTTAATTTTACCTTCATTTTTCACCATTAAAAGCTATTTATATTCCCTTGTTTGGTATCAGTCTTTTCAGCACAAACTCACATGTCTGAATCCGCTGTTATTCTTTTCATTTTGACATACTGTATTAGCACAATTGATATAAATCTAAATTTTAAAAACTTATGCTCAAATTTTAAGTTCTATACAACTATTGCCCCCAAAATGCAGCCAATACGTAGCACGGCACATGTTTCGTGTAGGATAGTTAATTTAAATGCCCGTCATAAAGTAATAACTAGCTCTGAGCTGTGTTTAATATTAATAAGTCCTAAAGTACAACTACATTGTATTTTCAGTTTTTCCTCCATTTTGCTTTAGATTGCAACTTAGCTTGCAAAAATAATTAAATAGATAGCACCTAACCTTTTCTCTAGATCTCATGGTGAATACTCTCACTAACACCAAGTCTCTTGTTCTCAACTTCACTGATTTTAATCGTAGTGAAGCCTGTACTGGGTTGGGTGTGTAAAGGAGGATTACGGTAAATATTTGTTGTCAATACAACTACTTTTTGCTGCCACTGCTGCTGCAGGATATCCTCATCAAGATTTAGGAGGGTATGCCATGTGAGAGGTCACTACTGAATCTCTTGCAGAACAAATGATCAGGGGTAATATGCTGAAATTAGGAGGGGTTGTTTCAGCAAAAGAATATACCCAGTCGAATAATGTGAACTATTTACCAGTTATGTCGATTGCAAGTATTTGCAGATATCAAATTGGAATTTTGCATTAGGGAAACGACATGCTTATTATTACTGGCAGGTAAAAAGCCAGATTCTTATGAAGTGGTATCAACCGGTCGCAGCAGATGGCCCCGCCCCTCCTTGAGCCTGGTTCTGCTGGAGGTTTCTTCCTGTTAAAAGGGAGTTTTTCCTTCCCACTGTCACCAAAGTGCTTGCTCATAGGGGGTCATATGATTGTTGGGTTTTTCTCTGTACCTGTACCTTTAACTTTTGTTGTGATTTGGCGCTATAAATAAATAAATTTATAAATAAATAATAATAAATAAATAAAATTGAATTGAATTGGTATGACTGCTTTGTTTGGGCAGAGAAGGATTTGTTTATGAGGCAAGAACTTGGGGAATAGGACGATGCATTAGGGGACAACATTTTTCAAGTAGGGCTAGTTGAGAGTGAGGACCATTAGCATGGATTTAGGGGGGGAAAGTCCATGTTGAGGTGGAATTGCATAAAAAAGAGTGAAGCACTTCCAGTAATGTAACTTATAGTCTAAAGTGCTTTGACTGTTAAAAAAGATTAAACTGTTTATGGCTAATAGAGGATGGGGAATGCCTGGATACTGATGTGTGAAGAAAAGCAACAAACCTGTAGCCTTAAAAGGTGACCCAAGTTCAGGCATGTGGTCTGACAGCAGAGTCAGTTAAAATAGGACAAGGAGAGCTGACAAATTATTGTCAATTGAAGGATGACAACAAGTAAATCCCATCCCATTGGTCATGTTGTTTTGGCAAAACATCGTTGACAGACAGCTTTGACACAAATTTAAAATGTCTTTGCTGTAAACATTTGAGTCTATGACAAACAGGCACAGAAAGCTAAAAGTGGGTGCATCCTGTCAAACAGAGTGCCTTTTACCAT